TAAATACAAAGATAAATAAGAAAGTGTCCGAACGCAAGTTAAAAAAAAATCTCGATGATAATAATATTCGATTCTACGATATTTATTCCTGTAACGATTTAAAAATTTTATAAGATAATAGGCTCATATCTCTCGACTTATGAATAAGAAATACAACGATAGATGAGAAAGTGTCTGAAATGTTTCGTCAAAAATACCTCGAAAAGAATCTCAACGATAATGGTTCGATTTATTCCGATCTAAAAATATAACGATCTAAAAAATTCTATAAAATAATAATCTCTCGAGTCAAACTCACTTATCCCAAATGCAACGATAGATAAGAACGAGTTTAAAATATTTCGTCAAAAATATCTCGAAAAAAATCTCGACGACAACAGTTCGATTTATTCCTCCTAACCTAAAAAAATTCTTCTCTAAAATAATAACCGCGAAAACAACAATAACGCGATATATAAAAGAGTTACAGTTAACCGAGAACAGTTCGAAACGACACCGAATTTACGAACACGACGATCCTCCACGACGAAAAAGAGTCCCGCTCTCTTTTGTCGTACGATACGAAGCGTGGAAGCTTCGATGGGGAAGGAGATATGGGAGCCGGCAGTTCATAATTTTCGGTGATTTACGGAACGGATTCCGTGCGCTGCCTCGCTTTTCCGCTCTGCGTATCGATTTTATATGCCGCGCACATCGATGTTTACGAAGGTTGGCCCCGCGAGCAATGGAGGGAACGCGATGGACGAGCGGCGTTTGTACCCGCAGTCAGCTATAAAGCCCAAGAGAGATAGAAAGAGATAGAAAGAGATGGGACGCGTACGGACGACTTCTTAAGCCGTGGATAAAACAGTACACTCGGTCGGTAATAATTCCAACCGAGGATGGATGAAAGGGACGAAGATAGTTGGCCCGTTGCTCGAATAATTCGAAATGACTGCGATCGAATCGAGGGGAGGGGGGGATATAGAATCGATCGGTGAAAATTGTACACGTGCTTCGTCTTTCGAAACCAACCAATCGATCCGATAGTATCGCTTTATTTTTCTCAACGCGACGAGGTGGGTCGTACACGCTTTTCCGCGCCACGAAATTGTTGAAACGTTGACGGGGAAAATTTATATTAGTTCGAATTCACGAATAGAGTTAAAATGGAATAATTTATTGTTTGAATATATATATGAGAATTATATGAGAAAATATAATCGTAATAGAGGCAAATTAAAAAAAGTAAAATAGGATTTTGACGAGTAGATTATCGCTAAAGAAAATAACTTTATTATTCGAAATTTTTAACTCGGTCACTCCGCTCGGGGTCGGATCGTTGAACATCGGGACGGATTAACCTCTTTTGAGAGTCAAGCCAGGTCGAACCGTTCGAATGCTCGACCAGCATCGTTGGGATAAATATATATAAGGAGAAGATCGGGGAGGGGGAGGAGAAGGAAGTCTCTGCGATTGGCGGATTTTCGACGATGGATGGATGGTTAATGGAGATTCAAAAAAAAAAAAAAAAAAAAAAAA